TTAATTATTCATTGTGGAAGTACCTACTTCTTTTCATCTGGACGCACTTGTACTAACCCGCAATTTACTATTTCATGTTATGATAGTGCCAAACGAATTAAAGCAATGTAATGGTAAGAAATGTGAGGTAGAAATGATTAAATGCATGAATTGGTGAATCAAACGCGTGCAGTCGATGGTAGGGATTGTCGTGGGCTACGGTCTACGGGCTACGAGAGTGGCAAACCAATCAGGCTTCAGGTTCTTCTTTCTGATGCAAATTAGATGAAACCCTTAGGTTTGCTGCATACCAGTAGGAAGAGCAGGATAATTGATGTTTCTGTCACTTCATTATATTACTCACAAAGAGTCTGTAGGGTTAATATTGGAGTTGGCCTTGTTAATGGCAGTAACAGCATGAATGCGTGTTAATTCTTTCAGAACCACTCTAATGACGTGCGTGGAAGATAGAAATAGGCGCTGAAGGCTCCTGGTTGTGCAGTGAGCAGGCGTAAAGTGAGTAGTCGAATATGGTCTTATGTAAAGAAGGTGGTTGGAAGGCAAGGTTTGCTCAAAAGGCAGCAACTACTTACATGCAGTGAACTTGTTGATCTTCCATCGTTAATGACGGTAGCTAATTGACCTGAGCGTCTGTCGCATGTCGAGTGCAATACATTTGGTTGCAAAGTATTGCGAGAGTAATCTTATACGCCATTCTCACATGAGTGTATTCTGTTCATCACCACTTTCATACAATTGGATTTATACGAGTAGAAATGACTTCCAGTCCTGTTTCAAAGTCAATGAAATTGGCGCAAGTGCTATTCACTTGAAGTCCCTCTGTGCTGCAAGAAGGTTTGAGTGGAAGTGTGATGACACTGAACTCGCCACACTTCAGAATTTATAGATCAGTATTCTTGTATGTCATCAAACAGCTCAAGGAAATACCTATCCGCTAAAATGCGATTGACGTGTTAATGGCACATGCTCCATCAGGAACAATTGAAGCCAATGCTTACCTAGACTGCACTTGCATGCAGTCAGTTGGCACCATTGCAGCAATGAGGATCATTTTGCAAAATTAAAAAGATGAAACAACACAGGTAGTATGTGAAAGATGTTTTTGGGGAAGTAAATATGAAAAAATATATATAAACAGTAACCAATCTTCGGAAACCTGCAATTGCTGTGGAATCTCTTTGTCAGGTCGGTGTGTTCGAGTACAAAACAATTATTTGATGCGCGCGGCACATTATCTAACGAAATGCAAGCTTCGTCGATATGCCATGGCTCGTGTCAATCCAGACGATTCAATGTTTACATGCGCTGAATGCACGAAGAGGAAAAAAGACGAAATAATAGACGAGTAACCGAACTGGAACAGTTACCACACTTGGCACAATGTAACAGTCATGGAAGAATGACTGAAGCCGGAAGGTTAAATCGAAACAGATAAACCGGCTTACACACCACCCAATTTGCAGTGCTTATATGAATGAGAATGACGAAGTCATGTAGCTTCACATCTACCATTGCAAGCATGATTGAACAGAAAGACAGTAAAGTCAAATTGGAGGCTATCAAGTATGATTGGTAAGTGGCGAAAATCACAATGCAGGGAGGTAAGAGAAGTGAATGTGTTGGCAGTGGCTTGGTGCAGATGTCTAACTATGATAATCTGCAAGGAATATCAAACGGCCGTAGACTAAGCAACTTCACGCGCGACTCAAAAATGAGTATGGGTTAAAGGGATGCGTGCCAACAGCCTATTAATCCACCATGGACTATTGGTTGGAGCATGAAATGTGAAGGCAGTGCTGAGCTATATCTTAAATAGAGGCACGTTAGCGTTGCTGGAACAGGAAAAGAATGGGTATGCAGCAATTTGAATGTGACTAGAATAATATCTACTGACAAGAGCTAAGAGATGATAATCATTGCAGTTAGGTCAGAGTGGCGATATTCATGATTGCATCCCTGACAGGAGCGGTCAATGATGAGTGACTACTCCTTACACGCCACGTCTTCATGGAGTCACCACGATGATGCGAAGTGTATTTGTTAGTGAGAGTGCGATATCGTGCTATCTGTCAGTAACCACAAGCCATTGCCACGAGTGTGAAGGCAATCGAATGCAATTCACGACTACTTCATTTGGGCTCATCTAATTCCGTCACTATTGTCCACCAATTCCTGCTGCCCATTGGCAATTTTGGCCACAGTCTGTACACCGACTGAGGTGTGTCAACTGACGTTTCTCCTCATATTGTCAGCTAAGCGTTGAATTTAGCGCTGCCGATGGCACATATAGCACTCAAACTGATGGCGAACATCAGTCAGAAGCATTAACGTGATCTTCATCTATTCATCTATTCTTTCCTGCCGATCACCTCACAAGCCTTCTTCCTCCACTTTCGGAAGATGCAAACAGGCTTGAGCGAGTGCGATGCGAATCGACGAGTTCACGACGCAGAAGAATGAGCACAAATGCGGTCTTCACTTGCGTCCTTTAAGACAGTCTCGTCATCGCCACCATCGCAGCGGCCTCCTTAAATGCTTTACTTTACACCTGTCCATGTTCCGATCCCTCTGATCTCTGCTCTTTAGTTCATCCTCACCTCCATCTACTTATTTTCTACCGTCCGCACCCAAATCCTCCCGAGAACACCAATGTGCCTGCATACACGCCCTGTTTTCCATTGTTGCTTTCGTGTACGGCTCTTTTTACCTACTTTTGCAGCTCTCTTAACAACCAGCCCACATAGGCATATTCCATAACATTTCAAAGCTGCCCATTAGATACTTTGCCCTCAGTGCCAATTATCGCTTGCTATTCCTGTGGCAGATGCAGGTAGAGAAGCCAAGTTGTTTTCCATCTTCTAACAGGAAGTATTCGATTTGCATAGTGGTAATGCACACCCTCTTCACTCGCTCGCACTCTTCGTCTGTGTCTGTCAGTCTGTCTTGATGTGGGGATTACTTTGCTGAACAGTTTGTGCACGCAAGCAAACAGTGCTTGCTGCCAACACTTCTTTGTGCAAAGAGTCTTTGTTTGCCCAAGAGAGAAGGCCTTATTGAGCTAAGGATGGTGGGTGGTGTGTTGTGATATGATGCACCTGGAGTTCAGTGGTTAACTCTCCAATGAGTACCTCTTGGTGAACAGAGTCCCTCGTGCATTTGAAGAATGATGTGCTTTGGTGTTGAATTTGTGCTAGAGCACTCGTGGTTACATGTACACAGAATGCCGACTGTCACTTGTTGTTTGATGAATGCAGGTTCTCAGTAAACACAACTTTATTTTGTACGAGAATTCAGTGGCGATAATTTATTGCATCATTCCGGTCACTCATGTCCAGCAGCATGAGACAAATGAGTGTTCTAATGTCAAATGCAACTCACAATCGGCCTTGTAAACTGATTGGTTAAATCAAAAATAATATCAAAATTCATTCCTAGACATGCCGTTGGAGCATGAGGCAGCGTTGCGTCCTTCAAATTCAATGGCGAATTCTGCCTTTCCTTCCCACTGAAGAAGTGGAACCATGACTTAGTAGGTGCAAGATCTACTCTGTTGTTCCTGTTGTGTAGACATCGAGAGGTAATGGCCTTGGAAACACCCGAATTCCAGTTTTGGTCATGTGCCTCCAAGTGCCACTATTGCTTCGAGGGATTAATTCACGTTCCATTCATGCTTATGAGTGCAATATTCTATCATCTATATAGGCTAGCGATACACGAGTGCTTGCATCGGATTTCTTGTGAACCTTAAATTACAGGTGAAAATATGAGAGTGTAACCAGAGCTGTTGGAGCCCAGCTGAATAATGTGACCCTTGTGACGTGAGTGGAAGGATTGCAGCAGCGGCTTCAACTCGGAGGTCGATGTGAACGAACGTTGCGATCACTCTCCAGAGTCAGTGGATGTCAGTCAATTCAAGCAAGATCGCAGAAATTCCCGTTTGAGAAATGGTTGGAAAGTGTATTAACAAGTATTCTACAAATTTGTGGGCACACGTAGGTGGTCTGAAGCACCGTGTGAGTGTAGCAATAATTAATCAACATCCGGAGGCATGGTGGGGAAGAGTTCCTTCGGACCCTCGTGTCTTCTTTGCGGGCGCTACTTGCCTGTGCTCGTCAGCGCATTCCAACCTTGACAGTAGTCCGCCTTCCGTGTAGTGACACGTGTTTCTAGAGGCGAGACATGAGGGATCAAATGAGCACGAACTGCTGTCATGAGGCCGACATCAGCAAATTGAGTAGCCTAGGCATCAGTGGCACAAAGAACAAGCCTTCAGGCGTCTGCTGGAAGTATTTTAATTAACATAAAGTGTGGACTCTCTGAATGTGAATGGTAGTTGTTGGAGTTTGAACTCATACCCCACTTGCAAAATCAATGCGTTATAATCGGTTTCTGCCTTCAATGTCAAGATTAGTCGCTCTCGCTCAGTTACGTCCCTTTTCCAATGCTTTTCCCTTGTCGTCTGTTCTGAGTTAGTCCGTAAAATGAACACTCATTGTGAACAGTACTTGGCCCAATGAATGCTGGAAGTACGCATGTCACTAAAATGCTATTCCTTATCTTGGTAAATGTTTGAAAATTTCACTTAAACTGAGTCTTTTAGCAAAAGCAGCGGTTTCGCAGCTGTAGTGATTTATTTCCTAGGGAATATTGTTGTGTTGAGGTGTGTGAGGCATCATGTATTTACTTCGCAGCACTCGCAGCCCTCGGTTTATGCTGGTGCAAGAGCAGTTTGGCCCGCCTATTTTTGGACGAAAATCAACTATTCATGAGCTGGTTTAGGCACACTTGGTGTTACATTCAACGAGGAAAAGTCAAGTGCAGCAGTCGTGGAATGGCAGATGGAATGAGTGAGGTGAATTTTGCTTGGAAAATCTGTGCAATTTTTCAAAACAAATCCTAGATTGTCCATTGAAGCGCTTTTCCTTTGCACAGGTGAGGCGATCTGATCAACAGACTGATGGCAAGTGCTGAGTTGGATGTCCTTTAGTTGACCAGTGAGTTTAACTAGCAATCTTGCAGTGTGAGCTGTTTGCCAAATAAATTGGTGATTGCACGCAAAGCCATTCGTGTGCGATTATTGTGGATGCAGTGAAACGCATGTTCATAGGACTGCTCTGGTAATGACGTGGATTTGTCACCATGATGGTGAGTGAGGCTTGAATGACTTGTCTCACCTCAGGAGTAAATGCGAGTGGCTGCTTTTGCAACACTCTAAGACTATGCATGAGGACAGAAGCAAACTCGTCAACCTGAATGAGGCTGAGGCGCGTAGTCACATCGCGTCGCATCCGTTTGGGAGAAAAAACAGTGCAAGCTCACAATTAGCCTCTCTTTTAGCTCTTAATTCACTTCAAATAATATTCGAGCAAGTATAACATCTAAAGTAGTGGTTTTTGATTTTATGAGTGGCAACACTTTGACACATGGTTATTCCTGCAGCTACAATTCAACGAACTTGCAATTCCTTGTAAAAGCACCATTGGGTTGAGAGACACAGATAAATCAGCCGTTGAGAATCCTTAAATCAACCAAACTCAATCACCGTGAATATGATTGTTTGGCATGCTCTACGCCCTCATCCGCCCACACTCCCAACTTGTTCTGGGTGGCTCCTCTCGTCCCCACCAACATCATTTGCCATGAACATTACGAAAACCTGGTATGTTAAAGCGTGTTATGGCTACTTTGATTGCTTCTGGAGTTCACTCACAAGAAAAGTGGTCACACTTTACTTTCCTTATCTTTTCATCCCTATAATTGTGGACTCAAATGTAGCAAATCTTGTTCTGTTCGTCAAATCATTTGCAGATAATAGTCGCAGCATGAGCAATGGGATAAGACCAGAAGTTGTTTGATATTGCCTGCTGCTCTTCTTCCTCTGAATCTGTTGACAATATTGCAGCTGCATTAATGACCTGTGAATGGGAAGACCCTACCGACAATGCATGATGTACCAAGGATGGTGTTATGAGGCCACACACATGGACGCTGAAGGCGAAGCGGAGATAGAGGACAAGGTTGAGGCAACGGCAGGAAATACGTCTGAGATGAATTTGTTCGATGGGGCTCATTGAAAACCAGTGGTTGACAAGGTCATTGGTGAGGAACAAACTGGCGTGGGAAGTAAGAAGTGGGAGAAATGTGGTTTGTGAGAACCAGAGGAAGCCTTGGTAAAAGGGCGGATAGAACTGAAATATTTGTAGACATCGGTTCCACCAATGCGAAATACATCCATGTATTCACCTCTCCTTATTTACAATCAATTTTGGTGTTGTAAATTTAACAAAAACATGTGTGTACAGTTGATCATTGTTCTGATCTCATGCTTTTAATTCTCACACCCACCTCTCTGCACATTCATATCAATTCCATGTTTGCTATTATACCCACACTTTTCTTCATTTTTAAACACATTTACGATCTTTTCCACCCTTTAGACTACATCTACACATTTGTACATACTTACCTGAATACCAACCTACACGCACACACGCAAATGGTTCGCTTTATCATGGCCCACATCAGATGTCACACAATGCAAATCCATGGTTGGATCTTCGTTAGACAAATAGGTGCAGGATAAAGCAGGTCGGCTCATAAGAGGTGTGTGCCAAGTATGATGTCCGAATTTGGAGAATGCTTACTATTACCATTTATCCTCAAGTTGAGTCTTTCCCGGTCCAGGTGTGGAGACCTCATTTTGTTGAGTATTGCGAGCAGTGCAACGCTCATTGATGGACCACTCATTGAGTGTCTGTCGGTGAACGAGGTCTAACTTGGGTAAATGGATAAAAGGTGCATTCATGTTTAGATTTCGGGCACATGCAAACAATGACCAAGGCCATACAGTTACTTGGTGTGACAATAAGTGCAGATTTCAGCTAACCACAGCCGCATCTTGTACAATAGGTAAGTTAGGCCAATCCATTGCCTCATTTATTTAACATTTACCAGAATTTTTGAGGCTACTAATATGCATGGTAGTAGGTAATCTGATGGTGAATACAATCGCCAGCGCGGAAATGAATAATAGACAGAATACAGTGGCAAGGTTCTTACAATACGAGACAATGCTGGGTTTTAACCCCATTGACGAAATTTTAACTCCTTTTTTCATAAAAGGAAATAAATGATAACTTTCACTTGTTTGTCAGTCACTGCATCGTTTAGTGTTTTATTTTCTTGAAGATCGGCCTATCTACAACTGGAAATAATTTTTCTTAGCAAATGCTTTTATGGCATCTTTGTTTACACTGCAGATGCGGCTGTGTCCACCTAAAATCAGTTGACTTGTGCCATTAAATTTGCATCGAAACTGGACTACTCTTTACTCGTTCATCTTTTAAGCACGAGGAGGATACGTCTCTGTCAATTGCAATTTGTCAATGCCGATGTCTGTTAGAAGGTGAATAGTCAAATGTTTATAGGAAGGTATGACCTTGTAACGACTTGCTCAAATGGACTCAAAATCAAAGTGTGTGGTGGTTTTTGAGGGAAAAAGAGGTAAGTAGAGGCGAGATCAAGGTGTAGTACACCTGTTTGCTTTGCGTGCTCGTGCGAGGGCAAGAGAGCTTCTTCTTTTCCTTGGCTGCGGAAAAATTCATGAGCCTGGCAGTTAGAGGAATCACACTGTGTGGACCAACAGCTCCACTTTTGATGTTGGCCTTTGATGATTACACCCTTACTACAATCCGTGATTGGCGTGTGCTCTACCAGCATCACATGCATGCCGTGCCTCTATCGCCCTACTCGAGCTCTCACGTCACCCATTTGTGACCTATGGTGTTCATCAGTTCACGTTATCTGGATTTACTCCATCACGTTAACAACAACCAAGTTGGATTACAAAGGGCGAAAATAATGCATGATCTTCTTGGTGGAGGAACAATAACCAAAAGTGTAGCAGAACATATTCGTCATAGGCCGTTGTGGTCTGCCTTCCTTATAGAATCCATGATAACGAAGGACTCAGAAGTGTTTACACTCGCAGATGACTTCTAGGGCATCAGCGTCAGCGTCAGGAATGCAGTGCCTTCCGACTTCGGTGCTGTGTACTACCTTGGCTGGAAAAACCTGGCAGTGTGGTTTAAAGTTGGATTTAGTTGCAAGAACTGGAAAGTAAATCCGCCACTGGTGAACTGGTGTTTTAGAACGGCATTAGTGGGCACATCTTTGTGACTGTTCCAGCTGTCGGTCAGGAAATGAAGGGATCAGGTACAGTCCGCCTCTCCTTCGCCATTTAGTGGCCTTGGCCATCTCGCTGTTGACACGATTTGGTGAGAGCAAACATGACAAGGTGATTGGCAATTCGTGTCACACTTACTCATTTCCATGATTACATTATCTCCTTCATGAATGGTCTTTAAGATGACATGGTTTAATTTGAGAACGAAAAGAAGACTGACTTCTTGAATAGCATCGCTCTTGGGGAATTGGCCTATTTGACAGTACTTGCTGTAAACTTTCGCACTTTTCAAATAGGTATTCGAAAATGCAGGTGAGTGCAAAAAAGACAAAAATACGATGACCGCATTACATAGGGACGTGGGTTGGCTGTGAATATGTTAGGATAACGAGGTGTGGCTACCTGCGCAAGTCCAGGGTGGCGGAAGTGTGCTTCTCTGCTGATAGGATTTAGTAGGGACCACTTTTCACCTCTAAATTAGCAGAAGCTGCACTTGTTAGTGCAAGACTCGGGGAGAGAGGGGAGTGAATGAACTCCTTTCCTCATTTCCTACTTTTATCCTGACTACTGGCAGCCAACTACAATGTTTCTTGTGAGCACTGTCCATGTGTCCAGCTCCCTGCTTCGGCCGTCAACAGCTGGCCAAAGAAATGCATTCAGCCCCAAGGTAGTCAAAGCAGCTGTGCAAATGTGGTATTGGCGTAAGGAACGCACCGATTTTTATGACGAGATTTCTGAATATCGCTTACCATGCAAAGCGAACTCCATGCTGAAGGGTTTAATTTGAGTAAAAATGCTGTGGACCGTGGTATGTTTTTGGTAGGACTATGCCTCGTGTAGATCACCTAGGGTAAAATCATTCAGCTTAGGACCACAAAGGAGAGGGAAGGAGAAGGCTGTGCCTCCTGATTGAGTCATAAATCGAAGTTAATATGAAAAAATGACTAGTGGATTTCAAGGTGTCTTTTCCATGTAATATATATCATCCAGTTTTGCGTCACTGAATCAGTCTCATGCCCTCAACGAGCAGTTCATCGCCTGTGGTGTTGAGAAATAATCAAAAGTATAGGTGGGAGAAAGTCAAGTAGTCTTAGTGAAGGTCACTACTGTGTGGGCTGGTTTTAGCAATACTGGATGCTAAAACTACAATTATCTGGCAATTTCTTTGTTTACCCAGTCCTTCCGTTTGGTGGATGCGATTTTTGCACACGTTTTGCAAGCTTTATCTGCAACCTATGGTATAGCATAGTAAAAGCAGGCCAAACATGCGAACAAGAGACAGCTGTTAAGGAAAATAGCATTGATGCTAGAGGATAATGAAGTAGATTTCCTGGTACGCCAATGCATCTCACAGAGAGCCGTCTGATATCATTTCGCAACTCCACAAATGCAAGATTTTGACATTAGCAGCAGGCGGATACACGGTGTAATCGCTATATTGTTGCCCAGGTAAAAAGGCATGAAAGCATGGGATTCGATGAATTGGTCTGCTAAAGCCTTCTTTCAGACTATGTGGGCAATCGGCATATATAGCTTTAGCTTCGAGATGCAGCACGTAACTCCAACAGTTCACACATGTGAATTTAATGTCACTGGTCAATTTTGAAGGTTTTGTCTGTGTGAAAGGCTTGTAAACTGTCTTTGGAGCCCTCCAGCTCGTCCCCATTAATAATTTACGAGGGCAGATTAAAAGAGAGATTTTCTTACCTTCCAGCTTGCTTATCAAATTCCAACCCTACTCAGCTCATATCGCTTTGCATTTGTGTTGATGTGAAAGACGTGAGGTAGCACAACATGTGCTACTAGGACCGATTACAGTAGGTCAGAATAGTGTAGTCCATCAGCATGA